CATGTTTTCAATAGAATTCATATTGCAAAGCTCGCACGTACGTACGTTGATCTCTTTCTAGATGACCTCTGTCTTTTTGCAATTCGTAAACAATGTAATGAACATCGTAGCCGAGCTAGTGATTGCACGTGGGTTCGAATATGAACAGAAAACCTTTCTGGTTCTATATAGTAATTTTAAGTTGACAATAAGTATCTAACTTGTCTAAAGTACGCGAGTCAGCCCGCCATACCAAAGAAATATACTGTTTAAATCGTCCCATGCCTGATATCGCTGGGCTGGAAATAACTTGCCGGGTATGCTCACTTAATATATATGTATATGTATTTATGTGTCTCATATCACAGTGTTGACGCCCTCTACGTTATAGCTGCATAAAAACAAAAGCCACATAATTATTTGTGTATCGTGATTATGACATACACGTATAAATAGAGACCATCACACTGTGACGTCATATGATTACAATTACGCCAACCAGCTTGTGAATGTCCGATATCAAATATTTCCCACTGATCAGAACTTGCTAACGAACTGTTGTGACAATGTTGTTTTATTAACAATAACACATAACGCCCTTATTTTGTTATCGGGTGCGAATGACCGGTTCTTGTCAAACAGTCACTGCGCACGCGCATGCAAGTTAAACGTAAACAGATTTGACAGCTTATTGGAGTGGTTGCGATGAATATGGGCTGTAGATCATACTAGCGCCACTAACGTTCAGTGTAGGCATATACGCAAGAGCTATATGAGTCAATTAATTACACCTGGCGTTCACCTCCAGCACAAACGTCCGTGATAATGGAGTGCAAGTATTGTATATTACAAGCGGCAATATTAGGTATGGTATGCATCAAATCACGTGAATTTAGTGTAATTGCTAGCAGACATACAGCACTGGCTAGTATTATGTACGGGAAGGTAAAGTAATATTAGAAGTTACCAATGTTGTTTTCGTCCATTTTGAGCAGGTATATTCACATTTGCACGCGGACAGCATGAGCCATTCAGGTCATTACCAGAAGACACAATTGCTCTACTTGGATCGGAAGCTTTATTAAATTGCAGTTTTACGTCGCCACAGCCTGGATGGGTGAAATGGAGTAAAGGAACGACGCTAGTATCGACCCACAAACTAGTAGATCCATTGTTTACAGGAAAATATAAAATCGAAGGCGGTTTTGAGGAATATAATTTACGAATTTACAACATTTCACGAAATGATCGTGATTCATATGCATGTTTTGTCGGTGACGAGGCGGATAACATCACAGCGAAAGCAGACTTGTATGTTCTAGGTAAGATTTATTTTCACAATGGTCATCAACAAATGAATGCGTCAGTCAGTGTAGTACTGTTCTTGTTTGAATGTAGTGTTAACTAAACAAAAGTATTTGTTACATGCGATGTAGAATTCTCGTGAGATACGTGGTGAACATTACGCGGTGCGATAACTGTGCTATTTAATAAATTCGTATTTAAAAACAATACAAAAGGCATGTTCGGGTCGTTGCATCACAGGTGACTTTGTACGTAGTATTTTAACCGAGACATTTTTCCAACCATGCCTCACATATTTAAGTATCAGTATACCTGTACCAGCGTCCGCTATTATGAATGGCATTTCTCGTAAAAAATACTTATATAAATAATAAAATTTTAAATAAAAAGCAGCACACATTACAACAAATTATGCAACGAGTTACATTTCGTAAAAGCTTTAGAACTCTGTGGTAGTCACCATCAGGTCGTAACATGTACTGGATGGTACTTATGAGTAACTATAGAAGGGAGCGGATAGATGTGACATACAGTAAATAACGCTACGTGCAAGGCATCAGAATTTCACACACACACATGCAGACGTATAACTCGAAAGTGATAGGGAACGGTAAGTTTGTTGGGGGCATAGTGCAGTCGCAGCTACTGACGTACTGTCACTGTTATTCCAAGCATTCGATGTACGGGTCATTTCCAGTTATGTATATAAGGTAAATGCATTTTTTACTTATTGTATTTTGATAAGTAAGCATGACACTGACGCTTGAGTTCCATTCCACTGACCTTAATATTCATACTATAAAGCGGGTTGGTGCATTTTATTGGAAACACAAATACGTATACGTCATCAATACAGGCTGTCCCATATACAATCATGACTGCATTTATACTTCTGACTTTCAGAAAACAGAGCGGAATGCAACGTTGAACCATCGTACACTGTAGTTTCTGGTGACAATGTCACGGCAAAGTGCAGTGTCGACTTATCAGAGGCTGCCCCTAGTGAGTTAGCGTGGTATCAAAACGGCGTTGAGGTGTCCCGTACACCGAACAAGGCCAATATTTTCACGACGTTTTTAAATAAGACAGATAACGGAGCAGAGTTCAAATGTCAAGTTGAACACCACACCTTACTATCGACGCAGATTGTTTTAACTTCATGTTCAATGACTATGGACGTGCAATGTAAGTTTATTTATTTGAGGTAACCAACCTATTTATCACGTATAGTCGTTTATATGTATACCACTATGGTAATAACTATGTGATTGGTGGATGTTGAGAGGCGTTTTTGCTATGAAACTGATAAATCTATTTTCGATGTTAATATTTCGAATAATTGAGATGAAGCCAAATTTGGCCATGGAAAAGTAACAAAAAAGGTACTCACTATTTGTTTCGGCGGTAGAATCGTAAAGGCGATTATGAATATTTAAAGTGTGTGGAGTCATTTTGGTACACTTACTACAAGGAACAAAGCGAATAAAACTCACATTGAATTGAATTTTAAAGATTAATGTCTAATTTGACCTACACTTTGATGAACGGTTCGGTATCAATCGTACGACAAATAAACATATTAAAAAAAATACAAGCGACCTCTCCTGATATTTATCGATTCCAATCTATTCGTTTTCTGGATATCGTTGGATTTTCAATACTAATTAATTAACGGGATAATGCAGACAGGCTGGTTACAATTTACGTAATGGTGTGTGGTTTTTTTTATAAAAAATAGTGAATTAGTTTCTGACATGTTTTTAATACTTGAGTCTGATATTATTTATCATTTACAGTCAAATATAAATCTCATCAACACGCTAGTGTGATTGTATTTAAAATAACAAATACATGTACTAAGGCAACCATACGTATTTCCGTTTTAATTAATTTGTCTGTCGAATGAATATGTTTGTTGACAAAACGTGTCTATTTCACAATAAATCATGATTCTATCAAAGTACAACATTAAATAAAACATTCCTCGAAATACTCAAATGCTGCATGTATATTCTTTATTACTAATTCCGATGTTTTCTTATTGTATTTATTTGACTGAAGGTTATAAACATATATTCTATTTCCCTGCTGAAAACGTGTGTACTTAAATGTTGTGCATATTCCAACAACATCACTGTATACTCTGCTACTACTGTCAACACATTTAATGTCGACAATGTTATGTTACGTAAGGTGTAATATTCATGTTTTAAAATAAATAATTTGGAGTTTGATAATATTTCTACTCAGATGGTCCTAGTCTACGCGTCAACGGTTCCAGGGAGTGGTACGCCGTAGAAGGCCAATCATACTATGCACACTGTGACGTTGATGCTAATCCGGAAGGTGCTGTTTTCTGGGAGGATACAATGCATAACATTATTGAAGGCGAAATATTATTAATAAATGCGGTCGCTAGAGATCAACGCGGTATTTATACTTGTTATGCCAACAACTCATTATTTAATGGCATGGTCAAGATGAACTCGGCATATATTGACTTGGATGTGCAATGTGAGTTAATGTTTGTGTGTCTGCACGTTCACTTGCTATTATAGTAAAAAATAACCATATGTAATTCCAATTATACTTAGATGTGCCATGATGGTGCGTTTGAATAATAATTGTACATTTTCCATCAGATCCTCCATTGGTGGAAGTTAGTGCACCACGTTTCAGCAGAGAGAGTGAAAACGTAACACTGAACTGCTCTGTGACGGAGGCCAATCCAAATACTGAGAAGATCACGTGGTTAAAGAACGGTGTTGCTCTCACCGTACCAGTAGTCTACACAATAATGAACATAACGAGAGAATTCACTGGATACTACTCGTGTACAGCAGTCAACACATTTCACGATAATACTACAGGAAGTGGAAGTCACACTATATACCACGATGTTCAGTGTAAGTACCAGAAGGTCGTCACCTGCGGTCGCGCGGGAATTGAGTCCCAAGCGACGAAACAACACACGCTAAAAGCGCAGAGGTTCATGGGTAGACGCTTGTTTGTAAACAATGACACGCTATGGCCATCTGACGCATGCGTAGGTGACGACTCCCCCGCTTTAAGACAATGATAGCGGCGCCACGTGTAAAGCAGAGAGACTTTGTATACTTGTACGAATACGTACGACATCACGTACGAATTAGCTGACATCACTTCTTGTAAATCATGCGGTCTATATTACTTTCTCTTGCTGATTTGACAAAGTTGTGGTTTCAGTTGTCCTGTTTTGTTTGTGGATTGTTTTGTCGATTATTGTAATCGCCTGTTTCATGCTCTTCCAATTTGGAATCATTCTGAAAAACTCCTGTATGAAATTCTACGGTTATTTCCACTGTTTGATAAATGCATCAAAATATTGTCGTAGAATACTGAATTTTCAAAAAGATGAGACTAATTTGGCGAGTTTCAAAACTAGCAAGTTATTTTGAAAACTTTTTTTAAGGAAAATATCGTACTAATCACTATCTCATTAGATCCACCGACTCTAACTGTGGTTGATCAAAACAACGGGACTGTGATAGAGGGATATGATTTTACGTCGAACTGTTCAGCCGATGCCAATCCGAAAGCAAACATAACGTGGAAGTACCCGAATGGTTTTATTCTTCATGAGTCCCAACTACACTTCGATGAAATCCACAGAAATCGTACTGGTACATATACGTGCAGTGCGTCTAACAGAATGTATGACGAGGAACTGGGCTCAGCGGAACAAATTATAAATATCAATGTACAGTGTAAGTTTTCGAACATTAATATTAATTATGTTCTAAGACTAGTTAGTCATCTCATTTGCTTATGCAAGGAAAACCAATAAATGTTTTACAAAAAACTTATATTAAACACGTACGATGTATGAACTTGGCTCAGCGGAACAAATTATAAATATCAATGTACAATGTAAGTAATTAAAACTCTTTTAAATTCACCTGACCCTGAATTGCGCATTTTTTTTCTTTGCAATTTCTCTCAATTAATCAAATAATGAACTTTCATAGTAGCAACAATTTAACACTTTCGTGTCGCTCATGTGTGATATTTTTGATGCTAAACATTGATTTCCCCACAATGCAATGCGCTTTTCGAATCATAAGTATGAGTTTTAACCTGATTACCGAATTAAAGATCGTTGGTCTGCGCAACAGGCAAATTCGCATTCTTTGTTCATATGAGACACATTTCTCACACAGTGTGTGGCGTGACGATCACTACACCCTAATTAATTACATTTATAGAAAGTGTGATTGATTCGGTAGGAAATAATAAATGGATAAATATATCTAATGGCTACAAACACATGCTTTAAATTATGCCCACTGTGTTTATCATTGTGAGCCAGACGCGTAGAAATCTCTTTCACTAGTGATATTGCTATTTTCAGTTATTACAACTTAAATCATTCATTGCATTCAATAAAAGTTAACATTTCCTTATTATCAATCGCATACCCAGATCCGCCTACTGTTACCGTCAATATGTCAACGGAATGGTATGTCATTGAAGGAAAATCTTACTATGCACATTGCAGAGTTGATGCTAACCCACGGGCAACAGTTTTTTGGGAAGACAAACTCGGTGTAATTACTTCCGGAGAAATCTTGGAATTGCGTGACGTTCAACGAGAGGATCACGGGAACTATTCATGCTTTGCACGTAATAGTTTCTGGAACGGTATTGGTGCAACTGATTACGATTATATTATATTGGATGTCCAATGTGAGTACACTCGTATTACTAGCATACAATGACACTATTACAATGTATCGATATGTACATTTTAAAATGTTTTAGACAAATATTCCTCATCATAAATCGTTCTGTTATCAGACCCTCCCGATGTTACCGTTTCCATACCAACTGTTAGCAAGGAAGGAGAAAACATAACGCTAATGTGTAGAGTGGAAGATGCCAACCCTACAACCGATGACGTCACCTGGATCAAAGATGGAGTTAATTTACATAATCCCGCAGTGTATGAGATGACAGATATAACAAGACTGGCGACTGGAAATTACACGTGCACTGCAATAAACACGTTTTATGATGGTAGTATTGGAATCCGTAATGTCACTTATCATCTCAACGTACAGTGTAAGTGCCATAAAGATTGTCTTTAAAGAGTAGAATAAATCCTTGAATTTATTTTCACTTAATATAACATTATTGCATTCTGTATTTAATTTTCCTCGTAGATCCTCCGAGTATAACTGTGAACAATCAGAATAGTGGAAAAGTTATCCAGGGAAACACGTTCACCGCATCATGTGCGGCAGATGCGAATCCACAAGCTACTATAACTTGGACATATCCCAGCGGACAAACTGTTGAAGGTTCTCAACTGACGTTCACTGAGATTGGAAGACGTCATACAGGAATGTACACGTGCAAGGCGTTCAATATACTGTATGATGCCGTGAACGGTTCGGCTGAGGAGACCATATACGTAGACGTACAATGTAAGTTTTATGACATTTGTATGTTGTATGTTTATGTTTCTCCGATCTCCATATACCCAATACAATATAATATGGAGATGGTGGATGAATTGGCGAATTTAACTAACACTACGATAAATACTTCCCATTTTCGACATTGTTAAATTCTTTCGTTTTTATGCAGAAAATACAGTATTTTTACCAATTAAAATTATATTTATTAACGTTATTGTTCGTACATGAGTTGTTGAATACACTACATAGTTTGTAGTATCATTCATCTTTTTTCAAGGCAAATAAAAGGCAAACATATAGAGAATATGCAAATTATCTTTTTTTGTATTATTCTTGTGTAAACGGTAATTATGAAAAGTATTTATGGGTGTATAGGAAATACATTTCGTTATGAATTATTCCTAATATAAATTTCTAAATTATCTTGTCAGAAACTTTTTTTCATTTTTTTTCTTCTGAAAAACGAAAGAATTTCACAATTTCGAAACTGGAAAGTCTTTCATATGAAAATTGGTGCTTACAAGTCTTAGTAGGGGATTTGGATTATAACACGATCTAAATCCAACGTTAAGCCTATAAACGCTCCATTGTTTTT